CTGAAAGCTACATGCTTTAATACTGCAAAATTGCAAAATGGGAAATTTCAGAGAATGTGACATTCTTGGCTTTGCCTCAGCAGATTGCAGACAAGCTGGACAATTCTGTTTTTCAAATAATAAATGATATTTATACTTAGTCTAACGTTTTCCTGGCATGCCATTTATGTACATAATGCTTAAAACGGGAGATTTAAACATGAGACAAGACTGAGCTTTGAGCCTGTAAATTCTCTTTATAAAGCAAAAAGAAAACACTTGGAATTCAGCAGCATGTGTTCAGTGTAGCAAACATTTGGTGAAAGATCAGATCTTTGAGTGTCACATCAGATTTTTTATATATGCAATTCTATAGGGACAAGTTTTTTCTTCTTCTTGGCTATTCATCCAGCTGCACACACCACTGAAATTATTAGATTTACACTGATCTAAAGCAATCAGATAGATTTGCTGAAGCTCTGGAGGTTTTTATTCAATCAACCAATAAGATCTTGAAAGATTTTTGATAGCTGAGGGAAGCTCTTTTCTAGACATTTTCTCCTTGGGTCTCCAAAGTCATGGCTCACTCATAGTGGATCTTCAGAGCAATACAAGGTGTTATGTGCATATCTGTGCTATTAGCTTGTATTAATTTATTGTCACACTTATTTCAAAACTGGTAAATAGTTCTAGAAAAACAAAACAGAAAAATCGAATAATGTATATAGATGAAAAATTCTGTTCTATAAACTAGAAAGCTCTCCTGTGCAAACGCTTTACAGGAATAAAGGTACAATATTGAGATGATATTTATCTTTTGGAAATTGGAGCCTGCTTATCTCCTTAAATTTGCAGTGGTTTAATATGGGTGTCTTAAAATCAAGAATAAACACATGCAAGCAGGAAATCGAGCTCATTTAGAAAAGTGTAAATCTCATTTGAATTGATATAATACCTTTTTGTTTGTTTGTTTTTGAGATAACATTGTCATATATAAATAGGCATGTTATATTTAAATTCATTAGCAGGTACAGTGAAGGATCAGTGTACAGTAGCACACGTTTTGGCGTGGGGCATGTTGCCTTTGCTTTGACAAGCAAGTTAAATGGTCTTCACCTGGATATCTAAACTGGGCTGAGAAATTTACTCCCAGAGTCAAATGTTCCAGGCTCTGCAAGACTCTCTGTGTAAAATCTCAGTATGGGTTTGGTCTTGCCATGAGTTATTGGAATGTATCAGCATATCCTCGGGCTGGAAAAGGGCAGTTATGAGAATGTTTTAAAAGGAGTTGCTCCCTCATTCTTGCTCATAGAACACAGATTTTAAACATAATACTAAAAAGTATTATGTTTAAATCCTGAAGTCATTTCTTACAGTGAGAGAAAATATATTGGAATAAATACACCCATGAATTATGTCCATCAACAGCAAAAGGCAAAATCAAAGAGTGTCCCAGTGGCTCTTTAGAATGCAGAAGTGTTTGTTCATTTCACTGATATCATTTCTCTTCGTAATAATGAACGCACAGTCAAGAGAAGGAGAAAGTTTTATAGAGAATGTTCTTTATATAAGGGCTGTACTTATATATTATACAGTGTGGACATTTATCATTTGTGACTAACATTTTTTAAATGAGCAAAAGGGATGTTTTTTCTGGGATTTGTCACTGAGAAGATAATTTGACAAGATTAACACACTCATTCTCATTCCCATCAGAAATGCTAATTGACAACCTCCAGGAAGGAACAGTATGTTAATCTGCCTTCAACTAAGTCCAGTTTACAGTTATTTAGTTCATTTCTCCCACACAGGGGAATATTCACTTACGCCTTGTTTTCTCAGATCTCCTTCTCACTGAAGTACAGCCAACATAAACTATTTTAGAACTGGCTCAGGAAAAAGTAACTTTTCTTCTGAGCTGAACTCCCTCAAACGATGGATTTTGAATTTCAGGACCAGCGCTATTGCCAGTCATTTCTTAAACAGTTTGGAGAACCTCATCTCAACAGTAGTAAACAGGTCACAAACGTACCATATAAACCCTAAAGAATTACAAAGCGTTTCAGAGTTCTGGCATTTGGTGTTCCGCTGAATGGCTGCACAAAACAGTTGTTCATGCAGCGCGTTCATCTGGGATTTGACAAAGCAACTCACGTGAAATATGGACTGTTCCACACTTTACACAAGACTTGGCCCAAACCAAGCATTTTTCAAATGTTGTCAAAAAAAAAAAAAAGAAGGAAAAAAATGCTGTTTTCTTTCTTGCAATGAACTTACACATTCTAGACAGCCCTAATGGTTCCAGTACAAAATAATCGGTCTTCATTTTTCTTCATTCCTCCCTTCTCTTTTATGACTGCTCAAAAATACACAGCTGTCTCTCGACTTACTTGGAACCACTGGTGAACTTCCACTTCACTGTGAACTGTTCCCTCATTTCTTTTAGCATAGGAAGCTCTGCTCGTGCCTTCTCTCTGCAAATATAGACTGCAGAGGTCGTCCTTTGTAAACGCTTTGTCACGTGGCAAAAGCATTTTAAAAGTACTAAAGAGTGGAATCAGATTTAATCTATCCACCCTTTAGCATCAGAAACAGAGAAGTACAGACAGAAAAAAAAGTGATGCCTTAAATGTCAGCTTACAAGAGGATTAGAATTGATGGCTTTTAACTATGCATTCAGAGAAGCAGTTAGTTGCCCAAACCTTTCTATGATTCTAATTATGGATTAGAAGTTCCGTGTTTTGAGACTGTATTCCTGGCTGCAGGGTATTTGTTTGCTGTGACTATTCTCTGAGAATAAACTCAGTTTTAATGCATGCTTAAAAACCTCTATTTCACAACCCTCAATGAAAGATTCCTCTTATATCTCACCTCCTCTGTATATGTGCTATTACTAGGAGTTCCACCAGCTCCCCAGTTGCTGGGTCCAGTTTTGCAAATTAAAGAGTGAAATCCTTTTTAAAATTAAAACAAAACAAAACAAAACCCCCCCCAAAAAAACCAACAACACAGAAATGGTGGTAGGGGAAACCCCATTACAGCTCTAACTGCACGACAGGAGGTCTGTAATCACTGCTGGACAAAGGAGCTGTTTTCCTCATTTCATTGATTATAGAATTTTGGGTTTGTAATCCAGTCCTAAAACTGAATTGCTGCTCAGTATTTAAAACAAGCCAAGCAATCTTTCAGCAGATTTAGACTCTCTTTGTTTTGTCCAAAATGAATTATGCAGCTTCTGATAATCAGCTTAATGATCTGACTGGGCAAAATTGCTAATGCTTCAGCAGACACCAGGTGCTCTCAAGGAAGTTAATGAAAAAAGTGCCTTCTGTGGGTGGGAAACGGACGTTCTTGCAGGGCATAATATGGTTAACATGTATTTTCAAATCAAACCTTTTTTTTTTCCTCTTTATAAAACAGTTCCTGAAGACAGAGATTTCTTTTTGCTTTAATTTTTTTTCAATTTATGCATAACAAATGAATAGAAGATTAAAGATAGTTTGTCTGAAGTTCCTACTCATTCAGAATACCTGTTAATTAGAACACAGCTTTTCAGCTTAAGCATCTCTCAGAAGAGCTCCATCTGCTGACACTGTGGGCTCACTTCAGGAGATGCTTGCAAGGTAATTTCCCTGCATAGCTGAGGAAAATGCATTGTAATGTGACACGAGGAATAAGAGACAATTTCAGAATGGGAGAATTTACAAAAAATTAAACATGTTTCACTTCTCCCTGCCTATTTTTTGAGACAACAGTTCTTGCTTGAACATTAAAAAAAAAAATGTCCATGAGGAATGGTACTTAACTAGTACAACTGGACTGTTCCCATGCAGAATGGAGGAAGCCAGTGTTAATGTATTAAACAAATGCAACTAGGAGTGTAATAATAAAATCAGCACAGCCATCCTTGGGGCTCTCGTGTAAGTATTTTTTGACAGCAGGTATCATTACAAAATAATGTTTCTGATTACTACTGATGCTTCAGCTCACCAGATAGCGAGTGCCATCCTAAGGAGCACTGCTGCTGCAGGTGCAAATTTATTCAAATGAGATGCTTTAAACTAGAAACGTTTGGACATCATCAGAGCTGAAGAGAGGTCAGACTCAAACTAGCAAGACAAAAAGCAGACCGCAGCTGTCAAAGGTTCTTTCCCCCCCCTTTTCCACTCCCTTTTCCTCCCCCCCTTTCACTCCCCCTTTTCCTCCCCCCCTTTTCCTCCCCCCCTTTTCCTCCCCCCCTTTTCCTCCCCCTCCTTTCCCCCCCCCCTTTTCCTCCTCCTCCTTTCCCTCCCCCCCTTTTCCTCCCCCCCTTTTCCTCCCCCCCTTTTCCTCCCCCTCCTTTTCCCCCCCCCTTTTCCCCCCCCCTTTCCCCCCCCCTTTTCCCCCCCCCTTTTCCCCCCCACTTTTCCCCCCCCCTTTCCCCCCCCCTTTTCCCCCCCCTTTTTCCCCCCCTTTTCTCCCCCCCCTTTTCTTCCCCCCCTTTCCCCCCCTTTCCCCCCCCTTTCCCCTCCCTTTTCTTCCCCCCCTTTTGCTCCCCCCCTTTTCCTCCCCCCCTTTCCCCTCCCCCCTTTTCCTCCTCCTCCTCCTCCTTTCCCCCCTCCTTTTCCCCCCCCTTTTCCTCCTCCTTTCCCCCCCCCTTTTCCTCCTCCTCCTTTCCCCCCCCCTTTTCTTTCCCCCCCTTTTCTTTCCCCCCCTTTTCTTCCCCCCCCTTTTCCTCCCCCCTTTTCCTCCTCCCCTTTCCCCCTCCCCTTTTCTCCCCCTTTTCCCCCCTTTTCCTTCCCTTGCACAGAGACTGTTGAGTTGCTTAAGGCATCAGAAGATACTCCTTCCGTGCAACCTACAAACTTAGTACATAGAAGTAATTGGACAGGTATATTCAAACAAGCTCATTTACTGTTCCATGAAATCTTCTAGAATAATCACATTATTGAGAAAAAAAAAAAAAAAAAGCAGAAAATAGATGCTACTGAATTTAGTGAAGGTATTATTCTAATGTGTGTGCTGTTTGTTTGTTCTGTTAGAAGACAACAATGGATGGTCTCTGCAGTTCGACAAGCATTACGCAAAGAGGAAATACAGCAAAGTGAAATCCCTGTACGCGTTTCAGACCAGGACATCGGAGTGCTGTAAGTTGTTATTATTGACAAGTCCTGGAAATAAATATTTAGCAAATGGGCTCATCAGAAATAGAAATGTAGCGCAGTTTCATTTCTAGTGAAATAAAATTAATGCCTCAGACTAACAAATGTATGTAAGCTAATTTCAGTTGCAATAGGGTGACTGGTTTTCTGTTAGAGTGCCAAATGTTTGCCAGTTAGGAGGGCAATGTGAATGTTTCATTGAATACATGAATACAGCTGAAAAGATCATGAAATGCATATTTTTCAGAGTGAAATGAAGACAACATTCCTTCAAATTCACTTCATCACTCAACAAATATTTATTGAACCCTACTCTCTGTTACCCCTACAGTCATTTGTCCATTCATACAGAAGTGGTCTAGTTTGAGCACTGAGATTAATCACAGAGATGGAACCTTGCTTGTTCTGGTAGATGTAAAAGAATCAAATGATCTAAAAAGTCAGAAAAATTTGAAAAAATGTAGCATGCCATCTTGTATCAAGCCTAAAGCTCTATTGTAAAAGCTCTTTCTCTGTGGCTGGGAGTTGAAGCATTTTTTTAATGTCCCTTTACATTTATTATTAGGGCATTCCGAGATCTATTTAAATGATGTAAAAAAGGAGTATTCCTTAATTTAAACTCCATGTGACACAGGCCGGTAGATCCATCTTTGAGCTTCACTGTTCTTTTACACTGTATTTCTTTCCTCCGCATCCCATCGCAACGCAAAACCAATCTTCCTCCACGTTCATGCCTTCCTGCAGTGGCTGGTGCTGTACCAGCAGAATGTACGTGCCAAGGGCTGGAGGTCTCCTGCGATGCTGCCCAACTGCGTGCCGTGCCTTTGGTCCCTTCAAACATCACCATGATGTGAGTAGAGCATGACAGGGGTCTTGTGCTATGCTCAGGCTTGACAATCAGTTCTACAGCCATTTCTGAACTACAGCTGTGTGATTAGAACCAGTTGGCTCAGCTGGTGTTTTTGAAAGCATAGGGACTCTCTGTTAACAAGTCCACTAAGGTTTGAAGTACAGATTTTCACTGCATACCACAGGAGAAAAGGAACTGAAAAACTTGAGAGTGGTCATTCCATATTTGTAACAGTGACTTGTGCTAGCAAAATAATAATAATAATAATAATAATCAGAAAATCTAAAGAAATTTAAAAATAAATGTTTCATTTAGGACTTTTTTACTGTTTCATTGTTATACGATCCTGGCAATATTCCCCCTCTATATTCTTGCCAATAACCTTGATTCTAGTAAAACTACCTACTTGAGCAAATAGCTCTCATTCAATGCCTCTGAACAGGCTTTTATTTAGCAGGATTTAACCTGAGGTGAGTCATCATACAGATAAATAGGTGTAATACTCACTTCTGGAAGAGTGGCTGGTATTGCTCTTTGTTTGCCAGCACTTCTATGAGAGGCCACTTTCTGCATGGTGAAGAGCTGTATCAAATGTCCCAAGGATCTCTCTTGAAAAATCAAAGGTACAGATCTCTGTTGAGTTTCTGTTTGCATCTGGATGGGATTCTTGTCGGTTCCCATTCAGTAGTTCGAATTCAGGTTAGTGCAGAATGTCATATGTATTTAATATGTATTTAAACCAGCTGCTGGCTCAGAGACAGCAGAGGCTTCAAAAATAAAGGTGCAGCTATGACTTTAGAAAAAAGCAGTGAGTCAGGGAAGCTGACTAGGCTTCAACCATGTCCTAAATGGGTTTTGTTCTAGTCAGAACACCTGAGTCAGTGCCCAGTGCAGACAGGGACGTAGAGAAACACAAATAGGGAAATAAGCTGTATATGCATTTGAAGTTTGAAATAGATCTGTGTTTTTACTTTATACTCAAATATTTTCACTTCTTGGATTTAACCAGTACTTTGTCTTCTTCCTCGAGAACATTGAAGAGTATTCTTAGATGATAAAGCATTGGGCAGTATGTGTATTATATGTATTAGTATATTAGTATATTAGCAGTATGAAAGATGCTCTTACAGAGTAAAAAATCATTGCAGCACTGTTGGAAGCTGGTGAGAACTGCTAGTCTCAATGAGCCCAACCCATTGCAATTGTTGGCTGCCAGGAGACAAAAGCAAAAAATAGGTGTTTACTGCCTGCATCACCAACCCCTAGGCCAGCAAAATGGCAGACAGCAGAGCTGCAGAATCCTATCCCATAAGCAAACAACAGCAACACCACTTTTTTAGGCCCAAGGCAAAGCTATGCATTGGTGTCTCCACAGTCTTCACCTGGTGTTTGTCTTCCTTTCACTCTTTCAATTCCCAGTGAACAGAGCTTTTATTTTTCTCATGTCAGCTATCTGACGTGAGGGCTGAATGAACAGCAAGTTTCCAAAGGAAGCTTCTTGTCTCAAAGATGAAGAGTGTGTGTTTTTTTCTCAGGCTGAAAACTACTTTCCATCCTGACTGGGAGCTTGCCAGCTCTTTGGAGTGCCTTGTGACACAACCATGTAGTGACAGAGACCCTTCCGCAGGTCTACAGATTATATTTGTGGTCTTATACTGTTAAAATTAGTCCATGGTGTTTTAATCACATTTTTTTAATTGTCTGGACAGGGAGGATTGAAAGGATACTGTCTGTATGAAAAGTGGAAAATGGGAATAGCAGCTGCTTACAACATTACAATGAGTAAAATAATTTCTCCTTTCATGCCTTTTTACAATCTCCATTAACTCAAGCTCACTTCTAGCATAAACACTTTACTTGAATTGGTTGATGCAAATGGATTTGATTCTGTTTAACTTTAAAAAGAGAGTGTGACAGTAAAGAGCACAGCTACATCTTTCAGTTAATAAGCTGTGCAGAAGCAGTCCAAAACATATAACCTGACTCTACTGGAAAAAGCCAATTATTATAGAAATTTCTGTCAAATCGTTTGATTTACTGTGAAAATGCATCGGAATCTGTGAAATGGTTACAAATGTGTGAAATAGGATAAGTTCGTCCTCGATACACCTACAGAGCAGATTTACTGTGTGCATTCATTCCTACAGGTCTCTTCAGAAGAATCTGCTAAGGAAACTTTATGCTGATGTTTTCAGAAAATACCAAGGCCTTAAAAACCTGTAAGGAAGCTTTAAACTTAAAATATCTATTAAGATGTTTAAATATTCATTCTTTCTCTCACTCTCTCTGACACACTGTACAAGCCTTAATGTGACAGGCCTCATTTACACTCAAAATTCTGTTTTGTCTTACACTCCAGTACTTCACTAATCATGAAACCTGTTTGCTTCAAATAATTCGATTGGCATCTTTTTTTTTTTTCCCCAAAGCTATGATTTCTGTGTATTTAACTTTTCTTATATTGATTGCTTTGTACCAGCAAAATGTTAAAACTTCATCGTGCCTGAATGAAGTTAGACTTGTGATGAATAGCAATATACCTGGTGTAGGGAACCTGCTTTGGCAGGGGGGTTGGACATCATGATCTCTGGAGGTCCCTTCCAACCCCTACAATTCTGTGATTCTGTAATATGCCAAAGGAAGTGGAAGCATGAATCGTTTACTCAGCAAAATCAAAGCTTGAAGCCTTTCCACTGGAATGGGAAGCTTACTCACATGGCATTAGCTTTTACCTCTGAATGTGCCTGCTACCAATCTGCTGATGTTGCAGAATCATTGAATGATATGGTTTGGAAGGGACTTTTAAGATCATCTAGTTGCAATCCCCTGCTATAGGCTCAACTAGTCAAATTATCATAGCAGTATAACAGGAGGTGTGTTTATGATGTGCAATGCATGTGTTGTTCAAAATCGTAGCTTTTAATGAATGTGATTGATATAGAATTAGTTCCATTAAGGATTGCATGCAAAATCCTAAAACCAAACGTTCCTAGGAAATATACTGGATGTCAGCTCTTATGGCAAGTGTTCTGTACTGCAGCACCATCTTGTGTCCACAGTGTTAATTAAGTACCATTGCCTTAAGGACTTTAAAGATGTGTTTTCATTAAGAGTACAGACATACCTCCCTGAAGAAGGTATGTGTTGCTGACATGAACTTTGCACATCTCTGAGTGCATGTGTTTAGAAAGCTCCTGAGCAGTGAACATCACAGACCTGTTGTGTAAAAACTGGTGTTTTTGTCACCACAGCAGGAACCTCAGGGCTGATCTATCAGGAGATGGAGCATAACCATTTCCTTGTTCATTGTAGGCAAACCAAATGTCCCGTTACACACATTCTATGTTTCCCCCACGATTTTTTATTTCTTTTAAAACACCTTTGCAGTCCCTGCAACTCTAGTTCTGAAATGATAATTGTCAAATATAGGATGTCAGAAAGCTTGACGGCCTCTTTGCCAGGTTAGCTGATAAACTGTAATTCTTTACTTATGCTTCCTTTGACTTTGCATGCAACAGAGAATCGATTGTTGTTGGTTTTGTTCTATCTTCCTAGGTATCTCCAGGACAATAAAATCAGAGCCGTGTCCAAACATGCTTTCAAGGGTTTATACAACTTGACAAAACTGTAAGTATTGCTTTAAGAATATTTAAGAGAAACTGGAACAGCTCTGAGAATTGCTGCGGATATCACTCTCTTATTTGTTTCAACGTTAGGAGATTAAATAATGGTCCAAATCTTTATCTCCATGGTATGAAAGAGAAAACAAAGATTGAGAGCTATCTGTGCTCTGTCAGGACAATACTCTGACAATGCAAGTGGGCTCCATAAATTACTCCTATTGCCCAAATATGCAGAATAGAAGGAGACAATATGATAGTCAGAAAGAATGGAAAAAGGAGTAAAACACAAGCAAGATCTTGTACTGAATTAGAACTCTTTAACGTGCTATTCTGGTTCATTGAAGTGAACACGAGCAGCCAGTATCAGTAATAAAAAGAACACTTTTGTTTTCCCATAATTTTGTAGTATCTTTTTGTAAGGGAGTCCAGACTTGTAAGGAAAGAGCTGAGTGAAAGAGAAGATGTGTAAATTCCATCACTCGGTTCAGTCTTTTGTCTCTGCTGTGTTTGTGATGGGATCTTATTTCTTTTTTAATATTGTACACCTTACATTTCCTTCACAAGTGTGAAGTTATCTGTAATAAAGGCAACTGCCTCTATTACTCTCCCAGATGTCTTATAGTGCACATTTCTTTTTCCACTGTTTGGGCATCTCCATTTATGACTAATATCCTTAGCAAAGACTGAATGTGACCGCAGAAAATTCGTGGAACTAATTATTCCACATAATGAAACTGGAATGGGGCTCCAAAGTAGCATGGTGAAAGGGCTCAGCGTGCCGTGTTTTCTTATCTGTAAGGCAAAATATTTCACATAATTGTTCAGAAAGCCCTCACTGTGGTGAGTTCCTCTCTTGCTATCTATCTATTTGAGTTGCTCTGACGTTTCAATGAAAGACTCATGCCTAAACATCTCTTGATGCCAAAGAAAGCTGGTTTTCCAGGGGACACAGAGACTGGAATCACATACCAGTGTGTGTTTGCTTGTAAGTGGGCTATCTTTCAAAAAGAAAAAAAGAGAAATTTCCCACAGTCAAAAAGTCAGACGATAAGAAATTGCATCAATTATCAAGGAAAGATCTTAAAACACTTTTTCATGCATCTGATGCATCTCATTTGTTTGTCTTTTATTGATCTTGATTCAGATACCTGAGTAACAACAAGATAACCAACTTGAAGCCTCACGTCTTTGAAGATCTCCATAAACTTGAATGGCTGTATGTAACTTTCTCATTGATGTGTTTGTCTTCTCAAGGAGTAATTAAAGCAAGTTAAAGGAAATATTTGGACTGTTTAAACTGTTGTGCATAGCACTGCTTTTGTACCAGATAATATTTAAGGGACTCATGCTGCACTTTGTGGGGGGAAAAAATGGAAAGCAGTTACTTCCTCTAAGTTAAAAATATTTCTTAAAAATATTACATTATTCTGAAAGAAAGTGAGTATGTATACCCTGACCTGCTATGCAGGAGTGTGCCAATACCATTTAAGTAGTTTGAGTGAGTATTTGAAGAATGTGACTTCAAATCTTGTTGTCTTTTTTCATCTGTTTAATTTAAGACTGTAGACAGCTCTCAGTTTGATATGTGTTTTGCTATAGGATAATTGAAAACAATAGGATAAATCGGATCTCTCCATCGACGTTTTATGGACTCAAATCACTTATTCTCCTGTAAGTATGGAATAAGAATCAAAAGTGTTACTTTAAAAGATCATATATAGTAAATACATACATCTGTTTATAATGGCTGTGATTGCTCATCACGCCATATTGTCTGCTATTGCAGAAGAGCTTCTATTTCAGAAGCATCTCCTGTGGAGCCCATATTTTCACACACAGACAAACTGCCCAACTGTGGTTATGAATTATCACAATCAATGGGAATGGAACTGCTTTTCCTGAAGCCACAACAGAGATTAAAGAGGATGTGTGAGACCCTCCGCTTTGCAAAGTGAATCTACAACAAAAACCCTGGGCGAGCACTAAACTCACTCCTAAGAAAGTCTGCAGTATTTTCCTTAGGAAAAAAATATGCCAGCTACCTACTGGGAGGTTATGGGGAGCCACCACTGCCCCATGGCTCCTGCTCTTACTTCCCTTTCCAAGTCTCTGCCCATAAGCTGCCCCTGGTCTCCAGCAGCCCAGAGAGAAACCTCCCTCCATCTCTCCTTTCCCATGTCACTAAGAGAAATTACATGTTATGACAGCACAGTCAAAACACTCACAATGACTTGCTTTGTTTAATTTTAAAAGCTATGAAATAAATATTTTTCCTTTACCCGGTAACTGGCGCGATAAGGAAGAAAGCAGTGCTTCACAGAGTTGTACAGAATTTTAAGAAAATAATAGTATCCCTAAAGCTGTGAGAGATGAACGAAGCTTTGAGTGCTTTCTGCCTTTTTTTCAAAAGCACAAGAGCTTTTTTTTTCCACAATGTCGTTTTTTGCAAATGTAGCCAGCTATACTGTTTGTTGTTGTTGTTTCCAGTGAGATGATGAATAATTCTCTTGCTCATTTGCCTGACAAACCTCTGTGCCAATATATGCCGAGACTGAACTGGCTGTAAGTATACCTTATTTTCCACTAGAAAATATTTTCTTTTCTTTGTGTCACAGAATCACAGAATGGCCAGGGTTGGAAGGGACCTCAGGGATGATGAATCTCCAACCCCCTGCCACAGGCAGGGCCACCAACCTCTACATTTCACAGCAGCCCAGGCTGCCCAGGGCCCCATCCAACCTGGCCTTGAACACCTCCAGGGATGGACGGGGCATCACAGCCTCTCTGGGCAGCTGTTCCAGCACCTCACCTCTCTCTCTGTAAAGAATTTCCACCTGACATCCAGTGTATTGCACTTCTGTAGCACTTTTTATAATGGACAGTGGAGTGATCTCACAGAATGCCTGCTGGTTCACAGCAGGGTTGATGACCTGGAGTCATTAGTCCGGTGTGCAGAGAAATTAGATGTCTAGTTTCTGTTCTCTTTCTTGCAGTCATAATGTTCTGGTAGTAGCTTTCTTTAATTACATTAGAATAACAGCCTGATTGCAATAAATTTATTTGCATGTTTTGTTTTTATATCCTAGAGACTTAGAAGGCAACCATATTCATCACTTAAGAAACGTCACTTTCATCTCCTGCAGCAGTTTAACTGTATTGTAAGTAATAGGGATACACTAGCTAGAGAGAATGAGCTGAAATTTTCCTTAATGTTGTGGTTATTTACATGTAAGGAAACTTAATTATAAATCAGCACCGTACAGAATAACCACTGTTTAAATTTGTATCAGAATTCAGCCTTCAGGTGCCCAGCTAAATTTCGCTGAAGAGGTTATGACCAATATTTAGAAGTTTTCAGTCTGACATTTTACTTGGAAAAGGAGGAAAAAAAAATAAAATACAGACCAAAATGCAGCAAAAACACAAACCACGTTTGGCTCATTTCTTCATTTCAAAAAGTTCAACAGCCTGGCTGGTTGGCCCAACAATTTGAGAATTGTAGAATTCTCTTCCAAGTTTCTTCTGTAATGTCACGATGTCTTCAGAAATCCTGTCAGCCATTTGATAGATTAGGAGCCTGCCTGTTCACTTCCAATTTTTAATTCTTCCATGGTACTCCTATTCTTGGTTTTCTCTTTGTTCATTAAATCATTGATCGTTCATTAAATCATTGATCGTTCAATCAAGGATCAAGTGCAGTAGCAGGTGATATATGGGTGAAGGAATTGCACAGCCATGAGCTTATGTCCTGAAGGCTGTTAGGTCCCAAGCCTTCTAGCCCAATTTATTTTTCTCCTGCTCTCAGAAGATGTATTTGGATCTCCTATGGGTAAAGGAATGTTTGGGGTGACTGAAGAGCACTAGAATGGCAGCCTCGTTAAATGAGCTTGCCAGAAAGAACAGCCTGAACATTCAAACCTCTCCCAACAATTAGTTTTATTCCTGAAATAATCTTGAAATCTCAAAGCAATCAGTAGTTAATTATTTTAGTTGTTGGTAGGTAACAATACAACTGAAGAGCACACAGTACATTTGCATACATGCAACACAAGTTATTTGTGCAATTGGGTATCTGATGAGCTCGTTAACTGAATATGTGAGGCTGATTTCTGAAGATCCAGATAAGAAAGAATCTTAAAAGTTTTGAAAAGTTTTCTTTAAAGCCAAGCAGTCCTTGAGCAGCAGAAATATATGCTTGTTTTCTCCTTCCAGGGTGATGAGGCAAAATAAAATCAGATCTCTGAATGAAAACAGCTTTTCTTCTCTCCAAATGCTAGATGAACTGTGAGTCCATTTCTTCTCTTTCTTGTATGACAAGCCAGACTTTCATAGTTTATTTTCCATATATCAATTACCATAAATTAAAGGTATTTTACTCTTTTTGATGCAAATGAAATAATAACAAATTATGATCTAATTATGTCTCCAAAATAACTAGACCAAGAGAAATCTGGTGTCTCTAGCTTTCCATGTTATTTTAACAGCATTCTTTTATAGTCCAAGTGTTGTAAAATCTATCTAGTATGAAATATTTGTCAAATAGAATGAAACTGTGTGTCTTGAAATTACAAAACTCTTCAGCAGAATTGTTGAACCTACTGAGAACTTACTACGTCTCACCTATGGCTGTTTCTGCAGGGACTTGGCTAGCAATGAGATTGAATCACTTCCTGCATATGTGTTTAAGGATCTAAAGGAACTTTCACAACTGTAAGGATTCATTATTATTATTATTATTATTATTATTATTATTATTATTATTATACTGTACATTACTCATATGATATGCTTTCATTCATGAATGCCAGGAAAAAAAGAGCATCTCTGTATAAGCTTTGCCTAAAAAACACTTGACTCAAAAGCAATTTCACATGTCATTTACCTTTAATTTTATGTTTGTCGTTTACCTTTAATTTTATGTTTACCATTTTGCCCTGAATAATTTTGTAAAATATGTCATTTCCATATCCAATTTGCTCTCTTTGAGCAAATTCAAATTCTAATTTTTTCCAGATCTTGCTAGTGTATGCAAAATGACCTATGCTAGCTATATTAGGAGAACTTTATCGTTTTGATGGGAGTTTTTAACATGATGTTATGATTTGGCTCTAAAAATTAAAAGAGTAAGAACTGAATAGCATCGTTAGCAAGTGCTTTCCTCTTGTAAAAGAGATCCAAAAAAGTGTAATAAGACATTATGAAACAAACAAACAAAAAAGGCTTGCTTTCTTTTCCATAACGTGCATGGAAAAACTCTCAAGTGCTGAAAAGTCCCAGTCTTTCTTACATAATCTGCAAGATTATGTCAGAAAACTGAAGATCTCTCCACAGAGCTCAGGCCAGCACATTTAATCCTGCATTGATTTTAAACTAGGAAGACAGTACGGAGAGGCAGCCAGACTCCCCAGTGCACTCAAAGCTGTGTAAACCCAATGTACCTTTTGAGAAAGCATTGATTATTTTTGTTTCTTTCTTTTTTTGTTCATTGCCATGAGCAAGTTTTACTGGAGGTTAACCCACCTGTGCAAAGTCCCTGTTCTTACCCTTGCCAGACACAGCTGAGAAGATCTCTGTTTCTAGCCAGGACCCAGCATGTGCAATACCTTATTTTTCTGCTTTTCCAGCGCTCTTGGGATCAGTCACAACTCTTGGGATAATCAAGTGTAGCCAGCTGCAGATACTGAGCTTTCATGTTAAATTTACCTTATCTAAACAAAAACATAAGGAAGAGTTATAGGGAGAAGAAATTAGAACTATATCTGTATTCACAGAAATCATTAGAAGTGATGGATTTTATCAAGTACCAAACTAAACTTTGTTTCTAAATGTGTGCAGTTCAGCTACATTCTTTTACTTACTCAAAACCTTCAAGCATCAGGTTGGGGGATGCAGATGTGCATGTGAATGTATGTGGCAGTAGCATAGAATGAAGCATCTGGCTACTCTTTCCTTTGGAAGGGTATTTACCAAGCTGAATAACACTGCAGAAACGATGTTACTTATATTCACAACTGCCAATAGAGCAGGTCCTTCCTAGAGGGCTGAAAAGTAGTTTTACTTTATCTTTGAAGAGGCTCTAAAGAAGATGTATGATGTTACTTTAACTCTCTGTTGAATTTACAGGAACCTTTCTTACAATCCAATCAAGAAAATACAAATGGACCAGTTTGATTTTCTAACCAAACTCAAATCCCTGTAAGTATCAAGTTTTTCTATTCAAACAGTTACCTATGTTTATTTGTGATAAAGCACATCTTCTTCAGAAGTTCATAATACAAAACATGTTTTAAAAGAAATTTCCTTTGAACCAGACTGTAGCTATTCACAAATTTCAGCCTGGAAAGTAACTACTAGCAATAATCCAATATACCTCCATTTAAATACGAGGTTCTTACTGGATATTTCTCAAATGAAAAGAAATCGTGAGTTCCACTTCACAAAGGATGTTGTCTTTTCAAGTGTTAAAGAGCAAGTTTAATGGAACCCAGCTTTGATCTTGAACAACTTGTCCATAGGGTTTAGAGTCACGTGAAGCTCAGCAGGGGCTATTGAATGCCATGGGTAGACAGCATTAGAATCAGTAAAGGCAGGAATTCAAAAGGAAATTGATGTACGTACAGGTTTGACTAGGGAACTGTTTCACCTCTTACAGAATCTACTACTAACACCATTAAAAAACCAAACCAAAACAAAAAAACCCACAAAGCAATCATGGTTCGGCCGTCTTGTCAGAGGGGGTGGGATTTTACAAATCTTTTTTAGGGAGTTGAGAGGAAAATTTTGTATCTTGGCTAACACAGCAGCTCTAACGTGAATTCTGCCAGCTTGGAAAGACCGTGTGATGTAGGGAGTAGGTCTGTACAAGTTACAGCAACAACAAGTATCTGAGCACAGCAAAGAATTATAAGCTACCTCTTTCTTTTTTTCAAGTTACAGCATGTCCTTCATTCATTATTTAACACTCAAAGAACTCGTGCAACTCAGTGCTCAGGACCTTCCATGTTTCAAGTTAGGAAAGCTGATGAACCTTGAGACAGATCTACATGAAACAGTATGCCTCAGCCCTCAGTCTGTAGAATATCCATTCCCTCTTTCCCAGCTTAAAATAGTAGATATAGCTAGGGAAATCAAGCCCAGGATTAATTTCAGGGCTTAACTAAAATTTACAGGTTTCTATATTTGGGGATTTATTCTTGTCTCATAGCAGAATTTCCCAAAACTAAAAGCCATTAAGATTGGTACTTTTGCCCTCTTTTGCCTAAATATACCCAGAACTCGCAAGCATTTTGCACTCATGGCATTTAAAAGTGGATTCAAACAAGGTTCCACACAAGGAAAACCGAATGTTTTCGCAAGTTACACATCTCATTATTTTAGACTAGAATACAGAAACTGAAGTTCTGAAAGAGCAACCTGCACAGTTACACTTTACTGGTCTACTACTGTAGGAGTATTAGAATTTATTTTAAAAAATCAAATAAGAATTCCTATGTATTTGTCACCAGAAGTCCAACGTTTTCCCTAATATGCAGAATTCTGTGTACCAGCTTCCTGCTGCTCTTGACACAATAAAATCCTGCGTTCCTGCTGTGATGTGTTTGCCTAGTAAAGCAGTATTTGGGATGGAAGGCAGAAATTTAAAATATCACTGCTGGAACGAGTTATGATTTTTCCAGGGATGGTGAAAGAGAGTTGGTAGAACAGCACTTGAGAAGGGCAATCATTGATGGCACTGCTGAGAGCACCAAAACTGCCTTCTTTGAGATACTGGAAAATAGCAAGTTTAGTAAAATTAAGTGTGATTCATTTTGTTCCACTTTAGCTTTTATTTAGGGTTTCTATTCAAGTTCCAAAAGAATGATGGAGTAGACACAATTAAGTTCATCTCTAATTTCATAACATGAATGCACAGTTTCATGATATGAATACAATATAAATGCTCACCCAATTTGTCTTTCTGCCACTGAGTTTCTACTGCATTTCATTGAGAATATATTGTTTACAGCAGCTTGGAGGGCATTGAAATTGCAAACATCCAGAGAAGAATGTTCATTCCACTTAGAAACCTTTCCCACATGTAAGTAGATCATCATTCCAGCTTGTTTTCTTTGATTGTAATTTCACAGTTTGCAGATTACTGAATAAGAAAAAACGGCTATTAAGTAATTTAAAATTCATTTATCTTCTTTTGAGATACATTTTCTGAGTATTTACCAAAGAGGTTTTATATTCTGGCTACAAAGATAGAGCCATCTATTTTCTGTCTTTCTTTCTCACGACCAGATATTTCAAGAAGTTCCAGTACTGTGGATATGCCCCTCACGTGCGCAGCTGTAAGCCTAATACTGATGGGATTTCATCCCTGGAGAATCTTTTAGCTAGCATTATACAGAGAGTGTTTGTCTGGGTTGTATCTGCCATCACTTGCTTTGGAAATATTTTTGTTATCTGTATGAGGCCTTACATCAGATCGGAAAATAAGCTCCACGGCATCTCAATAATGTCTCTCTGCTGTGAGTATTCTATGCATGAAAGTAGAAGAATATTGTTTTAATCTGCTCATAGTGTGTACAGTATTTGTTATTACAAAATGGTGACACATCTCCAGCATTAGATTTACTGAACCCTCATGCTCGTGTGAACGGCAATACAAAATGCCATGTCTTCCCCACCAGGAAGTCTTGTTGGATGCTACCTTTGTTCTGTAACAACAAACTGTTGATAGATTGCAAAGGTTTCATGATTTTAGTGCTGTAGACATTGGAAGGTTGGAAGGGACCTCAAAGCCCACCCAGTCTCAACCCCTGCTATGGGCTGGTTACCCCCCACCAGCTCAGCTGCCCAGGGTCCCATCCAGCCTGATCTTGAGTTCTTCCAGGAATGGGGCACCCGCAGCAATGTGGGCAGCTGTGCCAGGGCCTCACCACCTTCTGAGATAAAGTTCTTCCTCATGTCCAACCTAAACCTCCTCTGGTACAACTTGTGGCCATTCCCTCGGGTCCTGTTTGTTGCCTGGGAGAAGAGGCCAAACCCCTCCTCATCACAGCCTCCCTTTGTAGAGTTGTAGAGTGCAGTGAAGTCACCCCTGAGCCTCCTCCAGGCTAAACAATCTAAACAATTGCATGGGATTCTGTTACCATTCCTAATAGCCCATCTCAGTACAAATCCATCTAAACTTAAACATTTCACAAGTGGTATTAGTTGCATTTTTAAATGTAATTGTCAGCAGGGTATAAAATGGCAGCATTTCTATATACTGCATGTCAGTGATTCTCAAATTGTTATTGCTTAACCATTAGAAAAATCTGAGCACCATGCAAAACTTCTAGTCACTGAGACTATGCATAAGCATGTATGTGTGTGTGTACACGAGACACCTTCAGCTCTGTGTTGACAGCTCCTCTTCAGTTTGTAGTGTTAGCATTGCAGAAATATTTGTTACTGAGCCTTTTCTTGGTAAGTCCATATAAAATATAATAGGAGTAAGAAGAGGTGTCATGATATTTCAATATAAGCAATCAAGGCTCATTGTTTCTCTTGCTGCACTAGAGTTGAAAACGTGAAGCAAATGCTAGAATTTAATGATTATTTTTACCCTGCCAACATTATTGAGCACGTGAGGAGTGGTGAGCGCATCCTGAGAGATCTACAATACAAGCTCACTCACTCTAATGCTCCAAAAGGAGCTCAACAAATGTCACAGCAATCCTCTAGCATTACCCTAGGCACGCACAGGAGCTTCCCTCTACCTTCTGCCTTTCCCTGCTAAGCTAATCAGGAGGAAGAGCACTGTTGATTGTGTTTGCTGACTGCTTTCAAGTCTTAGTAGAAGCTTGTGCGCATCAGTTTTGAATTATTCTAAGATGGACAAATCTAAACTAAACTTAAATGGAACGAATTAAATTGACGAATTAAAACTAAACTTTTAATCCAACCCAAGAAAAGGGTTGAAAGCATATTTCTATAAATTGAAGTATGCTTTTTCAGCTTGAAAACCAATTTTATTCAGGGTTCAATATATAAGTCTGAAAACAACTGTGAAACATAGACTATTAGCTCAAACAAAAGCTGACAAAAAGGAGTAACAGAGCTGAATTATGTGGCCTTCGCTATAACTCACGGTATCATTCCAACTCTAACATTGGTTTTATCACTGTGTATTAGCTGGCTTAAAAACGTGTGCTAACGTGTGCATGTCTGTTTTTCAACAGACATATACACAAAGAGAACGGGAAATTCAGATGTGTAAATAATGATGTTAAGCACTATGCCCACAGGTGCTGACTGTCTGATGGGAATATATTTATTTGTGATTGGAGCTTTTGATCTTAAATATCGTGGAGAATACAACAAGCACGCTCAGTTGTGGATGGACAGTATTCATTGTCAATTGGTGGGATCGCTGGCTATTCTGTCTACAGAGGTGTCAGTCTTACTGTTGACTTACCTGACTTTGGAGAAATACATCTGCATAGTTTATCCTTTTAGGTGTTTGAAGCCCAGAAAATGCAGGACAATTTCCATTTTAGTTCTTATCTGGATAATTGGGTTTGTTGTTGCTTTTATTCCACTGAGCAATAAGGAATTTTTCAGGAACTACTATGGCACCAATGGCGTCTGTTTCCCTCTTCACTCAGAGCAATCAGAAAGTTCAGGAAGTCAGATTTATTCTGTTGTCATTTTTTTAGGTAAGTTGCCTTTTTTCCTGATACATGATTAAAGCCTTCCTTATATACAATAACAGTCCTGATTTTCAAACAGATTTGGCAGCTTTGTTGGGATATTCATTTTTCATGCAGACCTTTTCCAATCTATTTTGTTATATTAGATCGATGCTTAGGTATCTTAAGATGTATGAAGGGCTCAGAAGTTGGAAAGAAGGTAGAATCATTGAGTTCCTGAAGGAATAGATTTTTGCCAGGGAAGTAAAGAGAAGAGCTGCGCTGTTCGGCTCCAATAGCAAACACTTGTCAGGTGATGATGATGTGATTACTGGAGTAGAGATTCCATGTTTGAGAGAAGACTGTTTAATTTTATGGGATTGGCAGTTTAGAGCAAGGATTTTTCTTTATTACCCAACTTGCAAACAAGTGATGTGGAACTGCAGTTCTGCTTTTAAGAAGTAACTAATTAAAGCCTTTTCAACAGGTGTAAACTTGGCAGCTTTTCTCATCATTGTCTTTTCCTACGGAAGTATGTTCTACAGTGTTCACCAAACAGCCATTATGGCTACTGAGATTCAGAATCATATCAAAAAAGAGATGACACTGGCCAAACGTTTTTTCTTCATTGTATTTACTGACGCACTGTGTTGGATACCCATTTTTATTTTGAAACTCCTTTCTTTACTGCAAGTAGAAATACCAGGTATGTTCTTCCCCTTGCTGCTGTTTTGGCTGTGCATGAAGATAGTTTCTCATTTAAAAGAAGAAAGAATTGAATGTATTGAATTATATTACTGTAATGAACTATATGCTTATTTATCTTCATAGATGAACACACAATATAATGAATTATACTTTGCTTTATTACTGCACTGGATTATATTACTATCATCTACAAGGTTAGTCACGTTTAATTTGGACATAACAACAAAAAATCAAATCTTTGAAGTCTGTCCCAATAGAATATCTATAAGATATATCAGATGATTTTGTAAACCAAGCTTGCACTGGATTGGTCTTTCTCATCTTCTGGCTTTCAGAGATTCTGTTGCCTAACTAGGGCTCAAGCCAACACAAAATTTCATATCTCGATTTAACCATATAATTCTTACCCTGAAATAACTTTCTAGCACAAACTGACACTTCAGGCACTAAGTTATGTAAAATCAAGCTAACCTTCTTCATGCTAAAAATACGTTCCCATGTAAAACCAGTAAAAGATTAAAAACTTTAAAAGCTTTGTGGGGGGACTTATAATGAATAATACTGAGGAATAGGGAATATAGATCCCAGGCAGTGACAGGAAGCAAAGAATAGAGAAGAGACAAGAGCAAAGGGTAGTGCAAAAATAATAGTGAGAAGAAACAACCTGTGATATGAAGCCAAGCTGGAAGTGTGCAGCCACCCCTCTAAGCAGGAAGCTCTGTTTCATAAGCATCGAGGGCTCATGTTAGTTAATGGGTAGAAATGCTATAATGCCTACTACAGCTTCCTTTCTTTTTCTCTCCCCAAGGTACCATAACATCTTGGGTGGTGATTTTTATCTTGCCCATAAATAGTGCTCTGAATCCTCTTCTCTACACTTTGACTACACGACCCTTCAAAGAGATGATTCACCAGTTCTGGTACAACTACAGACAAAGAAGATCCAAAAGGGGCAAAGGCAGTCAGAAAGCTTACGGTCCGTCCTTCATTTGGGTAGAGATGTGGCCAACGCACGAAATCACACCAAAGCTAACTAACCCTGTGCTTTGTACAGACTCCTCTGAAGCCTCTGTCACTACACAGTCAACAAGACTAAATTCCTGCACGTAAATACGTTTGGAATCTTCACAGCGATGTCTGCACGCCTGTGGAGTTGCTGCTTTGCAACAACGATGACAAGCGAGGGAGATACGACGCCTGGGCTCCTGCGCACCAGAACTCAAAGCAGGAGGAAGCACAGTGTGGCTGCTTGCAGGTAGAACCAATGTATCAAGTGTTATTTCCACCTTGCAACAGTTCCTGCTATTTTGACAACTCGTTCTAGTTCAGAATGAGAAGTCAATCTCTTCCTTCTTTTTTTTCCTCCAGCAAGCCAGGAGTGTGGGGAAAAAAAAAAAAAAAAATGAAGTGATATTTAAAACATCTCATATTGAAATCACAGCATTTCAAAATCATCTATCTTTGGGGGAAAAAAGGCTATTTTCAATAAACTTTTTATAGTTTAAAAAAAATACCCATTTCAACAGCTCTTTTATTTTTCAGAGTTGACTGGTTTCATCTTCAAAATCATACTCCTCTCGAGATTTCTGAGTGGTAGACTTTTTAGACTGCATACAGCTCTTAAAAGCTTTTGGGAATAGCAGTAAGAAAATATTTTCATTTCATAATTAGATGACTTTATTGTATTTGTCAAGGTCAAAAAGGTGGAAACATTATTCCTTTTATCAACCGTTTCACCCATACAACTGTTGTAATTCAAGCAGAATCAGAATATTCTTTTTTAAATGTGTTTCTCAACTGTGTGTCCTCCAGCTGTTAACTAGAGGAAATTTCTCCTTTTGGAAGAGTTAGGAAGACCAAACTGAGCACCCCAATATCTTGACGCTGCTCTTCTCCTCACCATTTCATTATGAGCTACACTAAATAGCTCCCAACAGCTTACACACTTCAACAGGTTTTAGCCTTTATCTATCTCTGCATGTTGAATAACAGGAGGGTGCCAAAGAGATGACTGTCAGTCTTAGTAAGCTTCATCACATATACATTCAGTCTCCTTGTATACCTGAACAGATGCAATATGGCTAAAAAAATGTTAGGAACAGCACAGATCTGCACTTTTTGGGCTGCTTTTTTCCTCCTTGTAATAGAACAGCACAATAATGTCATCAAGCTGAAACAAACCTCTGCACCCCAGAAAAAAGGTGTTAAGGATAGATGTAGAGGCAGTTCTTTTGCATACACACACCTAAGATCTTTTCCCTTAAGAATTACTGTGATTTCTTTTCTTCTTTTAGTACCACATTCCCAGCCCAATGGCTTGGAAGCCCAAGAAGGTAAAATAAATTCTTTTGTATTGGTGATTTGAAGCTTTTTAAAATGAAGTTAAAAGATACTTCTGGTGTTTGCACTTAACTTCTTAATAATGTAAGAAGTAGAATTAAAAATAGTGTGACTCACACTTCAGCTGTTTACAGAACTTTGGATTATCTTGAAATCAAAAGTTAAGCATCTACTGTAAGTTCAATCAAAATAAAAGATTGTCCATTGAACAAAATGACTTCTGTTCCAAGTTGTTTGGCAGCACTTTGAGTTACTGGGAAAACAAACAAACAAAAACAACAGCTAAGAGGAATCCTGCAATGTAGATCACCTTTAACCCAGCCACTCAGAACTCAATTCACCAGGGTTTGTGTAATCTAAGGCTCGTTCAGAAAGCTGCTCCCCTGCTTTCAATAGGATGTCTGTCCTTATCAATGTTCCTATTTTTCTTTTAAGTTGATTCTAAATGCACTCAATGTCATCTTCATTTCTATGAGTAATCCAAGAATATCTGTCAGTTCAAAATTTGTTGTAAGAACTTTATTGCTTTGATTACAAAACTACAGCTTCTCTTTAAAATAGCTTTACCAGGGAAAATGTGGCTGATCCAGGGTACAGCTACATTCTCCTGCAGCTTCCCCTTGTATTTTAGCATTTGCAGCTGTGGAAAAGGCACAGGAGTTTCGGTACAGATATTTATTACATAACAGTGATCTTCCAGACCCAAAGGCCCTGGTAACAGCACCAAACTAATGAACTAGTAACTGCTTAAGGCAAGACATAAAAACAGCATCAAGTACAAAAAAAAGTTCTTCCCCAAGATGGGAGAGTCCGTTTCACAGGTTCTGTCCTAAGCGATGGAAGCTTTTCCTTGTGCTTCAGAACAATTCATCCTAACAGTAAACACTGCTGATGTGGACCACCATAAGGCACTTTATTACAATGGAAAATAGTGTAGAATTGTTGACAGCAATAAAACTTCTCGTAAAACAAAAATGCAACCTCACAGAAATATACCACAATAAAATAATAACGTCTGGGACAGGGGGGGTTACCTAAAGCTTGTAAATAAGCCACAACCTGCCACACGATCCCATCCTTTCCATAATGAAAGAGCACAGGCACGGGAAGGCTGGAGGCTGTGGAAGTTCTCACAAAGACATCCAGCAACGAGGAGTGTTCAAAAGGCCGCAAAGCACTGGGTGCAGGGTAACTCCGTGTGCGTTACTTCAGCACGAACCTGAGATCACCTGAGCCTCCGAGGAAGTCCAAAGTCGCAACGTTATTTTCACACGACTGCAATTCACGCACGCAAAACAGACGCCCATACGGCTCGGTCCCACAGCAGCTCACTCGCTGGGCTTCAGGGAGTCGTAGCCCTCCTTCAGCAGGTCCCGCCACGTCCGCAGGCAGCGCGCGTTCTCCAAGCAGCGAGCCGCCAGCGCCTCCACCTGTGCCGACACGGCGCTTGTGGCCTGCAGGAGGCGGCTCAGCGAGAAGGCGGCCTGAGGGCAGGCAGACAGACAGATAGAATCATAGAATCACAAGGTTGGAAACGACTTGCAAAGATGATCTAGTCCAACTGTCCTCCCATCACCACTGCTACCACAAGCACTACACCATATTTCATAGCTCCTCATCCAGATGCCTCTTGAACACTGTCAGGGATGGCGATTCCACCACCTCCCTGACAGCCATTCCAGTGCCTGACCACCATCTGAGAGAAAAAGTTCTTCCTCATTTCTAATCTAAACCTCCTCTGATACAATTTGCATCCACTTCCCCGTGTCCTGTTTGTTGCCTGAGAGAAGAGGCCAAACCCCTCTTTACCCCAACCTCCCTTCAGGAAGTTGTAGAGTGCAGTGAGGTCTCCCCTGAGCCTCCTCTTCTCCACACTGAACAATCCCAGCTCCCTCAGCTGCTCCTCATAAGACTTGTGCTCCAGACCCCTCACCAGTTTCGTTGCCCTTCTCTGGACACGTTCCAGGGCCTCAATGTCTTTCTTGTAGTGAGGGGCCCAAAACTGAACACAATACTCGAGGTGTGGCCTCACCAGAGCTGAGTACAGGGGATGATCACCTCCCTGCTCCTGCTGGCCACACCATTTCTAATGCAGGCCAAGATGCCTGCACCCGGGCACTCTGCTTGCTCCTGTTCAGCTGAGCATCAGCCAACACCCCCAGGTCTCTTTCCTCCTCACAGTCATCCAGCCGCTCATCCCCAAGCCTATTGCACAGCATGGGGTTATTGTGGCCAAAGTGAAGGACCTGGCACTTGGCCTTGTTGAACCTCATCCCATTCACCTCAGCCCAGCGATCCAGCTTATCCAGATCCCTCTGAAGGGCCGCCCTACCCTCAGGCAGATCCACACCACCTCCCAGCTTGGTGTCATCTGCAAACTTATGAAGGTGCACTCCATGCCCTCATCTAGATCATCAATAAAGATATTAAACAAGATGGGCCCCAGCACCGACTGGAGGACACCACTTGTAACGGGTCACCAGCTGGACTTCACTCCATTCACCACTTCCCGTTGGGCACGGCCCTCAGCCAGTTCCTTAGCTAAAGAAAGGTGCACCTGTGCAGGCCACGGGCAGCCAGTTTCCCCAGAAGAATAGTATGAGATAGACAGATTGACAGAAAGACGCGTCCATGCGGACCCCCTCCCGCCCACTCGGCGTGCACTCACGTCGCCGATCTGCATCTCCACCTCCTCCAGCTGCAGGGCTCCGGCCGGCGCCGCTCCCTCACTGCCGCTGCGGGCCCGCCGAGGCCCGGTGCTGGGCGAAGCCTCCGCCATAGCCCGCGCCGCACAGCGCTCCGATCCCGTCCTGTCTCGCGAGAGCCGCGCGGCATGCCGGGAGCGGTAGTTTTCTCCAAGGGGCGGGGCGAGCGCTGTCGAATGCGCGCGCGCGGTGGGGCAGGGGGCAGATGCCCGCGGTGCTGAGGGCGCGGAGTGGGGTCGTGTGGTGCCGCCATGTTGTTTTCTCGCTGTCCGTCCTCCAGCCGAGGTAAGTCGGGGAACCGGCCGCATGGCTGCACGCACGGCGCGGTGGGGCTGGGTCTGGCGCGGAATGGGAGCAAAGGTCGCCGCTGCGTGGCAGCCGGTGCCGTTCCCTTGTCTGGCTGGCGGGCCCTGGGGGCTTCTCGGTGCTGTCTGAGGGGACTTGTGTGGTAAGGAGCCGCGGTGCGGGTCTGGGCCGCGTAACACTGGGTGCCCACAGCCCTGCTGGCCTGTCAGAAGTGAAGCTAAGCGTCCTGTGAAGGCAGGCTGCGGGAACTCCTGCAGCCTGGAGAAGAGGAGGCTCTGGGGAGGCATCGCAGTGGCCGTGTAGTACCAGAAAGAAGCTTATAAGTAGAAGGGAAAACAATTTTGCTCACAGTGGAGCTGGATAGGCTTCGATGTCCTTATATTGCTTCTTGTAGAACCGTTTGTGTTGGAACAAACCCCTAAAAGTCACCTCGTCCAACTCCCCTGCAGCAAACAGGGGCACCTACAGCTAGATCGGGTTGCTCAGAGTCCCATCCAGCCTGACCTTAAATGTTTCCAGTGGTGGGACACCCACCACCTCTCTGAGCAGCTGTCCCAGTGCCTTGCTGCTCTTGTTGTAAAAAACTTCTGACTTATATTTGATCTAAACATTCACTCTTATAGTTTGCGGCTCTTTTCCCTTGTCCTGTCAGGACAGACCTTGCTGAAGAACCTGTTCTCTTCCTTCTTATGGCCCAGCCCTTGATACTGAAAAGCCACTCTCAGGTCTCCCCAGGGCCTCCTCTTCACCAGCTCTCTCAGCCTGTCCTTGCAGGGGAGATGTTCTATCTTTGGGATCATTGCTGTGGCCTTCCTTTGGATGAGCTCCAACAGGTCCTTATCTCTTCTGCATCAAGAGCTCCATATGCAGTGCTCCAGGTGAGGTCTCACCAGTACAGAGTAGACAGGCTGGATCTTCTCCTTTGCCCTGCTGGCCACGCTTCTTTCGCGCAGCCCGCAGCCCGGAATACAGTTGGCTTTGTGTGCCATGAAGGCATGTTGCTGACTCACGTCCAGGTTGCCATCCACTAGTACTCCCAAATCATTTTTGGCAGTTCTATGCGCCATCCTTGCATTCCCCAACTTGCACTGATAGTGGAAGCTTGCTATGACCAGGTGTAAGACTTTGCACTTGGGCTTATTGAACCCACAGCAGGGGATTGGAACTTGATGATCCACAAATTCCATTTCAACCTAGGCCATTCTGTGGTTCTTGAGGTTTGCCTTGGCCCACTGCTCAAGCCTGTCTAGGTCTCTGAGTGGCATCCCATCCCTCAGATGTGTCAGCCACACCACACAGCTTCTGTTTGCGGGCAAAGGATGCTTGAGGGTTGTGAGAAGACAGGGTTATAGCTCTTATGCTCTCTTGGCTACGTACAGAGTTCACATTAAAAGTTCATCACAGCCTATGTTTATTACTTGGTGTGTCCTGACCCTTTCTGTGCAGTCTTTTGGAGGAGGAGGGGGACTATCGTATTTGTTGTACTGCTTGTGCTGTGGAAAATGGAAAGCTTTCAAAAAGGACTGTTTTGGCAAACCTGTTTTCTGTTTTTGCAGCACGTCAGTGCTTTCGTGCTCTGAAGCTCATAAAGAGGGACTGCCTTCCCTCGCTGCATACAGCAGGATGGGCATCCACTGCTGCTGTGCCTCGCATAACCACGCATTACACCATCCATCCTCGGGACAAAGACAAACGATGGGAAGGTTGGTGGGGGCAAAATGCATTTTAAAAACTTCTATTCTGATTGAGCTTTAATAGTGCTGAAATTTGTTGCTGTTTTTCTTTTTAACAGAAATTGTATTAAGTACAATATTTATATTGCAAATGAAATGTTATGCTCGCCATCTCAGAGTGTCTTTATTGCTCTGAAATGAAATTAGATTAAATCCAATCCTAGATATTTCAAGGAAATCTACAGTCAACTTGAGTGTTATACTAACACAGCAAGTTTTAGTTGTGTCATGTATGGATGTGTTGGACTTCTCCTCAGTTGTGTTTACTGTGAGAGTGTGCAAAAATAAGATGAATATTCATTCTGGGTATTCCAGTCTCTGCGTTTATCAGTTTTAGTGGTTCCCCTTCTGGAAAAGACTCTAATGGATTAGTGTAAAATAAAGGAATTTGTCCTAACTGAGGCTCTTTTTTTAGTTCTTTCTCCCTTCCCTAGAATTTCACCAGGTGTCTCTGATACAGCTAGCCAATT